CCCGCCTGGCCGCCGCCCCGGGGGGGGTTGGCCACGCTGGGGTGGCCCCGCCCGCGGCGGCGCCCTCGGGCGCGGCGGTAGTCGCGGCGGCTTGCGGCTCCCTCCCCCGCCCCCCCCCCCCCTCTCCCGCGCCTCCTCCTCCCCCGTTTTTGCCCGCGCCGCGGGGTGCCTCCTGGTGTGCCCCCCCCCGCCCTCCCCTCCCCCCTCCCCTTTCTCCCCCTCCCTTCTCTCCTCCCCCTCCCGTTCCCCCCCTCCCCCCCTTCTTCCCCCCCCCCCCGTCCCCCGACCTGACCCTCCCCGGCCTCATCGGCCTTTCCCCCTTCCCCCCAGTCACCCTCCCCAAACAACCATAGTGCACCACCCTATTGTCCGGCAAAACCGCCACCACACTCCTCCCCAACCTTTTATGACACCCCCCACACATCCTCTCCTCCCCAACAACCACCCTCCTGTTCCTCCCCGCCTGACCCCCCGGTATCCCATCTCCCAGGTACAACAACGCCTGCGCCGCCAAGTGGCTCGTCCTCCTCAGCCCAGCCACCACCCTCGTCTCGTTGACCATTGAATTCGCGCTCCTCATCCTGCCGCGGAAATACGATTCCAGTTGCGCGACAGGCAGATCATCTGGCACAAGCGACAAGGTCGAAGTAGCTGGCAGACGGGAGCCATGTTTTGAGAGGAGATCCAGCGCAGGTCCAAGGTTGGGCTCGTGAGGTCTGGGTGGGCGGAGGTAGAGTGACAAGAGGGTGTGGTAGATGGAGGGCTGGTCAGTGTTGTCGGTGTCGTTTTGGTCAGGAGACGAAGAGGGGGGGAGGTCTTGTGTCTTGTGGATGTGGTTGCAGTATCTGTGCTTGTTAGTTCAAGGGACTTTTTTTTTGGGGATGGGGAACACGAGAAACATACTCCTCTGCCTTGGCATAGTCCTTCATCTTGAAGACATATATCACCAGCGCCTGCCTGTGCTGTCCCCTGTTGCTGAGAACCACCGCATGAGCCTCATAAAAGGAGGGATCTGTCGCCATCATTAGCATCCCCAACCATGAAAAAAACAGGTTGCCAGACCAGTTACTCACCCTCCTTCGGAATCCAGCTCAACGCCTTCCACAAGCTATACTGCCTGCTCTCCCTCAAAAACCTCACCAACCTCCCCATCAACCCCTCCCACTCCGCATCCTTCTTGTTCCCTTCCCTCAGCTGCACTACAAACAGTTCCACCAACCGATTATGAAATTCGGGCGTCCCATCCCCCAGCTCCCCAACAACATGCTCCAAATACCTCGTCTCCAACGCCACATCAACCCCCCTCAAAAACTCCACCACCCTCTCCGCGCGGCAACGTCTCCGCATTCTCCGTATCCGCCAAAAAAACCTCCATCCCTAACCCCGGTCCTTCTTTC